GGCCAGGACATCTCTCTGCCGCTGGCCCCACCTGCCGGCTCCTCCCCAACCCCGGCCCCTCCTCCCTGCCCCTGGCTTGCTCCTTTCAGCCAGCTGAGAGCTCCTTTCTGCCCCCGTCACCAGCCAGCAGCCGCCAGTGGATATAGGGGCAGAGGGGAGCCCGCTGCCGCTCCAGTCTGGTCACCGTCCACTTTGGGCTCCCCTGGGCAGGGCCCGTCTCTCCCTGCTGCTTTGTGGAAGTGTCAGGCTGGGGAAGTTGGAGGCTGCTTCACCCCCACCCTCCTTGCCCATGCAAGGAAATGTCTCCTCCACTGTGAGCACCATCAACACAGGCGGGTAGGGCTGGGTGGGGCCCCCAGGGCACGGGGCAGCTCTGTGCTCCCGAGTGTCAGCTGTCCTGACTCCTAGCACTGTGCTGGGAGGGGGGGATCCCTGCTCTGCGCTGGCGGGCCAGGGCATGAGGGAGTGGGTCTGTGGGGGGCGGGGTAGGGAGGGATGCTGAGATGTGAAGGGGTGGGAGGTGCTGGGCAGTGGGGAAGGTTTGTGTGTTTTGGGGTGCTAGGCAGTGGGGGTCTGTTGGGTGGGCACTGTGTAGTTATGGTGGTTGGGGGCTGTGGGGAAGGGTACTGGGCAGTGGGGGTGTGGAGATCTGTGCATGTTGGGATGCTGGGCAATGGGGGGGTCTGTGGGGTACTGGGCATTTGTAGTGGGGCTGAGTGCGGGGGAGAGGGTGCTGGGTAGGGATGGTGGTGTGCAGGGCACTGTATTTGTGGGGGGGGGTGCTGGGTGGGGCGGTTGTGATATGCAGCGTGGACCCACCCCCACGGGGAAGGGGCACAGGGCTGGGCGGGCCAGTATGCATCTGGCAACTGTCAGTTTGTAAACAGTGCCCTCGCGCTGGGCGGAGTGGGGTCGTCCACGCCGTGCCTTGCCCCGGCCAGCCGCTCGCTCTAAGGCCTGACCGCCCCATGCCATGTTCCATTGCCCCCATAGGGGCCCACAAATATGTTTGGTGCCAGGTCAACAAAAGATTAATCCGGCCCTGTTACGAATGTATTGGTTTAGGGGACTGTTAATGTGGGATACAGAGCCTTTTACCCCAGTCACTAATACTACTAGTGTTGAGTGGCTCCTGTATGATTGCTGTTTTGCTTAAATGTGAAGATAACACATTCAAGTCATCCCCACAGCTGGGACCTCTAGAAGTCTTGGCAGAGTAGACTATTTGGTTTGACCACAAAAACAAAACCACTCTTTCTCACTACTAGAGGTGGCTTCTCCTTGGGCAGGATTGATATCAGGGTGAAGGCAATGTGTAGGAAGCTTCTACTGTCATTGTCTGTTCTTTAGACAAAGGGATTATTTTTAAAGCTTTTCAATCTGACACCTTTCACTCTGCTTTAAAATGCGTTTAAAAAGTTGAGTAAATAGTTGCATTTCATTTTGCTCAAACAGCCCAAACAAAACTTGACTGACACTGGGGTGTTAGTAATTGCATAGTATAAAAGTTCTACCTTTGTAGTGAGCTTTTCTGACAATGGGCAAGGAGGCAATTTAGAGAACTGAATTGTCTTGAAATGTTGAAAAAATAGTTGGGTTTGCATCTTAGCCATCCCAGAGCTTTTCTCTTCAACTGCATTCTCATAAAATGGAAGCCAAACCACTTTTAGACTAGTGCTTCAAATTAGACCATCTGTATGCTTTTTCCATAACCCAAGCGTCCTGGATTTACTGAGAGGAATGGGAGGGCTGCTTCCAATTTTGTTCAATTAGCTGGGGTTTCCAATTACTTACATGCAAATTTTACTCACGATACTATTGTATAGTGGGGATTTTCAGGAATGTGCCAAATGTGAAAGTTGGAGGCTGTGGACAAGAAACTGTTAATATTACAGGAGTGTCTACAGGCTCAAAAAGAGATTGGGGCCTCATTGTGCTAGGGCCTCATTGTGTTCTTACTTACATGAACTTCCAGTTTCAGCTATTCCTTCAGATGCCTGTATACTTGCTCTTCCTTTGTTTAGGTTTCCTTTGAAAGGAGAGATGACTGTAATCCTTGTGGATATAAGTGGAATAGTTCTATTTAGTAGGGGTTTTATTTATCAAAAAAATGGGTGAATTTGTCTTCAAGAGAACGAAGGTATTGACAGTATTGGCTAGAACCTGACAGGGATAGGCAGCCTGAAACTTCCACATGCAGCATGTCCTACTTATTCTAATCCTGGGCCCAGTGCCCTCATTCATAATCTAATACATAAATAGAGAAATAGAATTTGAATGTCCAGTTATGCATATGTTAAGAGTTTTATTGTTTGTGCAGGGTTGCCATCTACAAGGCTGGGTACCTTCTTGGAGAACAGAGTGAATGAATTTCTGAGAAGACAGAATCACCCTGAGTCAGGAGAGGTCACAGTCAGGGTGGTTCATGCCTCCGACAAAACTGTAGAAGTAAAACCTGGAATGAAAGCAAGGTACATCCCTTCAAGTCCTAATGTTGCCTGCTCCCAGAATCATCCCAAAAGATAGGTGTTTGAGTTTTCTACATTTGCTGCTATTTGGCAACTGCAAAGTGTGTGTCTAGTATTCAGAACACCACCAACAGAGCTTTCTTGATTGGCTGTCAGTGATGTCACACCCACCTGTATTATATTGCATGAAGTACATTAAAGTTCTGGAGATTAAAACTAAACAATTTTAAAATAAAGCTGTGTTCCATTGTATTGTAGCTTTGATTATTTGTATTTGTTGCTCTCTAGTTTTGTCCTTTATGTAAACACTAAAATCCCTCCACTCCAGAAAGATTGAGATGAAACATGAACAAACTTTCAGGATAACTTGGGACACTTTTCCTTCTCTGGGATCTAGTTGTCAGGGTTGGCTTTCCCATTGCCTGTGACAAATGGCTCTGACCATGCGTTGCAAATCCTCTCTTAATTACTATCTTTATGTATCACCATGTGGTGTTCTCTGTCCTGATGGAATGAAAGTATTTATTACTCTCCTCTTTATCTTATGATATCTGCAGGTTTGTAGACAGTGGAGAGATGGCAGAGTCCTTCCCTTATCGAACAAAAGCCCTGTTTGCTTTTGAGGAAATTGATGGTGTAGACTTGTGCTTCTTCGGTATGCATGTACAGGAGTATGGCTCCGATTGCCCCCCGCCTAATCAGAGGTGAGGAACTGCAGTGCCAGTCAAGGGAGGTTAAATTTTACTTTGCTCAGAAGTCTCAGTGGGATGAACCTTCTGAAGTCCCAGATTTAAAACTTCAGTGCAGCATAATTAAATTTTTGTTGTTCATAATAGTATATCCCAACACAAAACAGTTACAACAATAAGGTTATAGTAAGTAGGAATTGAAGACAGGTGGGTGACAGAATGGGCATCGGGTTGTGGTGTTCCAGCAGCAGGAAACAGATGGATTTTGGGGTCTAGTTTGTAAAGAAACAGGGAGTCAGTGAGGAAGAGGGAGCAGACTGTTCTAGAGAGTGGGGGAGGTCAGATTTTGCAGACCAGAGGTGATGTAAAGGAAGGTGAGTTCCTGGAGGTAGATGGGACCCATAGCCTTTGAAGACAGTGGCTTGTGCATTAGGTACTTCAAGGACAGAAAATACCATGGATGAATGTATATAAATACTGTGAAATATTTCTGGCCTTCTGTTCTGTAGTGTCATGTATTTTTTTCCCTGTCTTTGTCTAGGCGCGTATACATATCTTACCTCGACAGTGTTCATTTCTTCCGCCCTAAATGCTTGAGGACTGCTGTCTATCATGAAATATTAATTGGATACCTAGAATATGTCAAGAAATTAGGGTAAGCCTTTAATCCTTCTTCCTAATTTACAGCATCCAGTAGTGTGCTAGGCACCTCGCAGTGCAGACAAAATGATATGGACCCTACCCTGAAGAGCATGCCATCTAATTTCAACCAGTAACTTAATGAAAGGGGCAACAAAACCGTGGGGGATAGGTTTAGGAGGAGGAAGGGGATATGACACTGCAGTGAGTTGTGGTTTCTCAGCAGAGACTTGTGGAACAGTTTTTTAAAGGTATAAAAGACTTGGAAGCAGGCCCCATGTATTATGCTATGTTCCCACCATGGAATTTCCTTACCCCAGTATCTGTTAAACTGCTATATGAAGCTCAGTCCACTACTTTCCTGGCATGAAGGGGAGGACTGCTGCTAGCTAAGCTTCCGAAGGCTTGTCTTCGCTACTGTGCCAAATCGGCGCCACTGTGATTTAGCACATCCGGTGAAGACACTGTACATTAATGGGAGCTCTCCTGTCAACGTAATTAATCCACCTCAACGAGAAGTGAAAGCTATGTCGCGCAAGAAAGCATCTCCCACTGACATAGCACGGTGTAGACACCACCTTAAATCTATGTAAGTTACGTTGCTGGGGAGTGGCTTTTTCACACCCTGGAGGGATGTAACTTAAGCGGTAATGTAGACAAGGCCCTAAAGGGGATGGGGGATCTGCAGAGACTGTTCTCAGTGAAGCAAGGAAGGATACTTATAACTGGAATTTTGAGTATATTGTCTACTCTCTTTTCCCTGGTTTTGGGCGTCTTTCAAATTACCAATAGATGGAAAGGAACTGAGGGCAAATTTGGCTTTGTGGTCCTATAGCCTTTCACAGTTATTAATTTCTAGATGATTTCAGGTTTCATGGTACTGAAACATATGCTCCCTAGGAGCTACAGAGGAAATATACTTGGAGAACTCCCAGGTATAGAGGAATTTTCTTCCTTTAATTGGCCTTGAAGGCCAAGGGAAAGGAATCAATGCTGGGAAAGTAAAGTAGGTTTCAGAAGACAAGGTAGTTTTTGGAATCTCATCTGATAAGCAGTTCATCTGTCTTGTTGGGGAAGGAAAATCCTGACTCCTAGTGCTGAAATAATCTGTTTCTTTGCTCTGAGAATTTACACTTCTCTCATCTAATTATAATGCAGTTGGTAGATGACCGTTGCAAGTGTATGTCAGGCTTTAGTGATTTTACCTGTAGATTGGGGGAAAATGCTTTGTTGCTGCACAGTGTAGGTCTGTGCATTAATTAGTAAAAATATGCATGCCCATATTGTATGCACGTGCCAATCAAAATACAACTCAATGTTTTTATTAATGGTATCCATTGCTTATATATAGCGACTGCTCTAGAATTTAGATCAGGAAGAGGATTGCAGTAGTTGTCCATCTTGTAGTACCAGCAGACTTTGTGCTGGCTCCACCTTGTGGCTGAAAGGAATAAAAGACCCTAGTGATAAACATCAGCATTCTGATGTATTGATGTTTTTTACAATGGCAGATATACAACTGGACATATCTGGGCCTGCCCACCTAGTGAAGGAGATGACTATATTTTCCATTGCCATCCTCCTGACCAGAAGATACCCAAGCCCAAGCGACTGCAAGAGTGGTATAAAAAGATGCTGGACAAATCTGTGTCGGAGCGCATTGTCCATGACTACAAGGTTGGTTAAATGTAAACTAGTTGCAGTCGGATTTCATGAGCAGTCTCTTTTGGTTCTTTTCCCACCGCTTGTCCTGCAGTGTGGGATTATTCAAAGAAATTTGTAAGGCATTAACTTGTGTTTTAGAACTGGCTTGAGTATTTAGCAGTCTGGGGTTAAAATACGTAAATCCTATCTAAATCACACATCTTTTGAAGCCATTTTAGTAAAAGAGGTATGAGGTAATGTCACATCTTCCTTTGCTCCCAAAGAAATAGAAAATCAAAGCTATAGGCCATGGGAATACTAAAGAACAGCCAATATGGAGTTAATCTTTTGGGGATATCTTAGCGATTTAAAAAAAAACCAACCCTAACATACATGGTTGGGCTGCTGATGCAGTTAGGACCTCAAGTCTACAGGTTTATGTTGACTTGAGATCAAGGACTGTAGGAAGTGGTGTGATATTGCTGTTCTATCTAATAAATGGGCTTGCAGTGAGTGGCTAGCAGTCTACTAATGGGGTTTTTTCCCTGTGGGGACTAAATGTCTGAATCATCGGCCCAAACTATCCGTAATTGAAGCACCACTAAATGTGTCTTAGCTTTTTTGGATGCTGTCTTCAGTGCTTTTTTTGCTGCCTCTGAGAAGAGGGTGCCCTGGTTCGCTTGCATAGTTATGATAGCTGTAACCAAGTTTGTATGTTTTTATAGGATATTTTTAAGCAGGCAACAGAAGATCGTCTAACAAGTGCAAAAGAGCTGCCTTACTTTGAAGGGGACTTCTGGCCCAACGTGCTGGAGGAGAGCATTAAGGAACTAGAACAAGAGGAGGAAGAACGGAAGAGAGAAGAGAACACTAGCAATGAGAGCACAGATGTAAGGAGACTCCTTTTACCTAACTCTTCATGATGTTTCTCCATCTTTTCTTATATCTTCATTTAGTTTCCCTAGGTCCCTGGTGCAGAATTAAATGTTAAGGTTTAAAGCTTCCATTTGGGGGTGGAAATAATTGTCTTTAGGTTTATCTAAAATGCATGTTTATTTTGAGACTCAGCTCTCCCACTTTCCCAGGTGCTGCCCATTTCCCCCTCCTGTTTCCCTACCTGTAAGTTGAATTCTTGCTATCATTCTACTTAATTGGGAGCCAGAAAATCATTGTGTGGGAGCCTTGGAAACCATTATCAGCCAGCTTATCTTCAGATTTAGGTGGACACATTGTGTCACTGGACTTTAGCCTTGGTTTGTCTTAATTGGTATGAGAGTGCTGAGTAATGCAGAATGAGCATAACAGTGAGTCCATTACTGACATTTTTCATAGATTACAAGGCCAGACAGGATGACTCTGGTCATCTAGTCTGACTTCCTATATAACCCAGGCCATAGAACTTTCCTAAAATAATTCCCAGAGCAAATCTTTTAGAAAAAATCCGATCTTGATTTTAAAAATTGTCAGTGATGGAGAATACACCATGGTCCTTGGTAAATTGTTCCAATGGTTAATTACTCTGACTGTTAAAAAATGTACACCTTGTTTCAAGTCTGAATTTGTCTGGCTTCTACTTCCAGTCATTGGATCATGTTACACCTTCCACTCCGAGAGTGAAGATCCCATTATTAAATATTTGTTCCCCATGTAAATACTATAGGCTGTAATCAAGTCACCCCTTAACCTTTTCTTTGTTAAGCTAAATAGATTGAGCTCCTTGAGTCTATCGCTATATAAGGCATGTTTTCTAATTCTTTAATCATTCTCGTGGCTCTTCTCTGAACCCTCTCCAATTTATCAAGATTCTTCTTGAATTGTGGACACCAGAACTGGACACAGTATTCCAGCAGCAGTCGCACCCAGTGCCAAATACAGAGGTAAAATAACCTCTCTACTCTACTCAAGATTCCCCTGTTTATGCATCCCAGGCTTGCATTTGCTCTTTTGGCCGCAGTGTTGCACTGGGAGCTCATGTTCATTATCCACCATGACCCTCAAATCTTTTTCAGTCATTGCTTCACAGGATAGAGTCCCCAATCCTTTAAATATTACCTACATTCTTTGTTCCTAGATGTATACATTTAGCCGTATTAAAATGCATTTTGTTTGCTTGTGCCCAGTTTATCAAGTGATCCAGATCGCTCTGAATCATTGACCTGTTCCCAGTTTTTGTCATCCACAAATTTTATCCGTGACGATTTCATGTTTTCTTCCAGGTCATTGATAAAAATGTTAAATAGCATAGGGCCAATAACAGTCCCTGCAGAACCCCACCGGAAATGCACCTGCTAGATGATGATTCCCTATTTAGTTATATTTGGAGACATATCATTTAGTCAGTTTTTAATCCATTTAATGTGTGCCATGTTAATTTGTCATTGTAGTTTTTCAATCAAAATGTCATGTTACCAAATCAAATGCTTTGCAAAAGTATAAGTATATTACGTCAACACTGTCTTTATCAATCAGACTTGTAATCCCATAAAAAATACCAAGTTTGACAAGATCTGTTTTCCATAAACCCATGTTGAATTGCATTTATTATATTGCCTTCCTTTAATTCCTTATTAATTGAGTCCCATATCAGCCACTCCATTATCTTGTCTGGGATTGATGTCAGCCTAACAGGCCTGTGATTACCCGGATCATCCTGTTTACCCTTCTTAAAAATTGGAACAGCATTAGCTTTCTTCCAGTCTTCTAGAACTTCCCCAGTGCTCCAAGCCTTATTGAAGAACATCATTAATAGTCTATCGAGCTCCTCAGACAGCTCTTTTAAAACTCTTTGGATGCAAGTTATCTGGACCTGCTGATTTTAAAATGTCTCACTTCAGTAGCTCCTGTTTAACATCCTCCAGAGATACTATTGGAATGGAAAGAGTGTTACCACCATATGTTTTTTCCTCAAATACAGAACAAATATTTATTGAACACTTCTGACATTTCTGCATTATTATTGATGATTCTACCATTTCCATCTAATAATGGACCAGTATCATTGTCCGGATTCTTTGTCCCTAAAACATTTTTACAACTCCTTATTGTCCTTAACTCTGCTGGCCATAGATTTCTCCTTGTGCCCCTTGGCTTCCCTTATCAATTTTCTACAATTCCTAACTTCTGATATATATTCATTTCTATCTCCTTTCCCTTTCTTTCATTTGTTATATATTATTTTTTATACCTGCCTTCATTTCCCCTCTCAGGTCGTTTTTTACGCAGTACAGCCTTGTTCCTTGATTGTGGAATTGTGGCTTTCTATGCATCTAGTAACCCTAGTTTCTTAAATGATTCCGAACTATCATTCACATTTTGCAGATTAAATTCTTTCTCCCAGCTGAGTTGGCTCATAATTGTGTTCAACTTTGTGAAATCCGGACCAAGTGTATACATATTACTGGTCTGGCCTTTATTCTGCTTGCATATTATAAATGGGATCAAGTCATGATCACTTATGCCTAAGCTACCATTATTTTTTAGTTCTGTGATCACTTCCTTTTTTTCTGTTAAGATGAGGTCTAATAAATAATTCCCCCATGTTGGCTTGCAACACTTTTGAGTTTGGAAATTGCCATCTATAATGTTTAGAAATTCCAAGGATGTTTTTAGTACTGGCAGCGTATGTCACTCAAGACCTCCAGCATATGTCACTCAAATTGAAGTCCCCCATGATCACACAGGTTTTTTTCCGCCTACAGATCATAGAGAGGTACATAAGGAGGCAGTCATCCTGTTCCTTAGTGTGATTTGGTGATCTGTAGAAGACACCAGCTGATACCCCATTTGTGCTTTATCTGTTAGGATATTGACGTATGAGCATTCAGGGTCACTTTTGTCCGAGTTATGAGTGACTCGGAAACAGGTAATGCCATTTTCAACATAGGGTGCCCCTCCCTCTCCCCTTTTGCCCACTCAGTCCTTCCTGAATAGATTATAACCATTCATTTAACATTCCAGTCATGTGAATTTCTGCGGTTATATAGTCTTTCAATCTCTAACAAAGCTGGTCTAAAAGTTGAGAGTCAAAGATCAATTGGGGGAGGTGATCAGGGTTTTAGCTTGACCAGCTAATATCCATCCAGGATATTCAAGGATTCTGGATCCTTGTTTTGGGTTGGGTTTTTTTGTTGGTTTGTTTTTTTAAGGAAATGACTCTGCATCAATTTTATACATTTTATTTAATCTATTAAAATAAAGAAAGCATATCATTGAAACTAAGTTGCAGTTAGCCATACTAAATGAAACCTAAGGATAAAGCAAAAAGATCAATCAAGGCTAAATCAGCAAGTTAGTAGATTTGAATTAAATGATCAAATTAGTCAGATCATCAGATTAATTCAACAAATAATTAGTCCTTATAAATTCAAAGAAGGGAACTAAGGAGGTGGCTGTCAGTTCAGTTACAAACACCAACTAAGAATTTTACCAAGGTTAGTCAGTCTGAACTTGGAGCTGGTTAAATATTTGATACTGAAAACAAACTGTATAATTTCTAAACCACAACCAAACAAAAGCTTCCTCTTTAGATTTCAGTTCTCATGTGGTAGCTAATCCTCCTTCCCTCCCACTCCCTCCCTCCCCCCCCCAAAAAAAGCAACTAAATACAGGTCTCTACAGAATACTTTGATAAGCAGAAGTCTGACAACCCTGACTTAGCAGTTTACATATCCTAGTTTACAGCTGACAGTTTTAAGTTGCTTAGGATTCAGAAGACGTTGCTTTAATGAGTATTTTTGAGACTTTGTTGTGGGGTTACGTAAGCCTGTGGAACTTACTTTCTGGCAGCTTCCCAGGGTGGACTTTACTGATGCTTATATTCTCAACCACATTTTTACACCCTAAAATTAAAGAATGAAAGGCTGGGATGTCACCCAGCTAATAAAAGTAAGACAAATAGAAAAAGGGAAAAGATACTTAAGATAATAGAGGGCTTACGTAGTATTCTAGGCTCTTTAGAAATAGGAACGGGAACTTCAGTCGAGCCAGACAGCGATGTTGCTGACAGTGCTGCTTGCTAGCAGGCTTTTTCATGTGCAGGTAGACTGGCCAAAGCCTGGCATAGCCTATTTGTTGATGTTGTGACTTCCTCCCCCAGAGGTGATCAGTCTTGGGATTCTAGAACTTTAGACTTTCCTCAGTGGCTTGCTGATCCAAAAGGCAAAACTTCTCAGTCTTACCCTTAATTCTTATGGTATTCCTATGCCGCCTTGCAGCATCTTCCTCCAAGGCCTTTGGACAAAGCGGATGAGAGTCTTACCTTGAAGCCATGAAGCTTGATCTGATTGTGTTTGAGTTAGGTCATCTTTTTGGCTAGCATTGGGGAGTGGAGGGGGAGAGAGTCTTGCTAAAACCAGCAATTTTTTTTTAAAGTATTCAGTATTTGCATTCAGGGAGTATTTTGAGACCACCAAAAATATCAAATACACTTCTAAGGAAGCTGACATGGCCTTGTCCAGGTGAAAGGGTCTTGAAATGGCATTATGCCAGCAGCTTATGGAAAGTTCAGCACAAAATAAGTGTGATCATTTTAGGATCAGATGTCACCATTCTTCTTGCAAACAAGACAATTTAGTAATCTTTATTTAGGAATTGGGGATTATATCAAATAGCTTCTTTTTGGAAATTTTCATCTTGACAAAGTTACTTTAAAGTTTATCAAAATAAAGCCCACTGAAGAAATAAACTTTAAGGTCTGTATTCCCATACTCAATTTATCACACAAAGTACATAAAAAGCATCTACAGAAGGGACTGCTACTTTTGTCTGTATCAATTGAAATTGTTACCCCTTCCAGCTACCATTATCCTCACATACACATGTTAATCAAGATCAAAGTGGGACTAAAACCCATTTCTTGGCCATAAAGGCACAACTTGGTATAAACCTCCGTTGGAGGCAATCTAGAGAGATGAGTTAAGCTGGAATAAATGGTTAGGGAGGCTGTGTTGATGGGAAGATAATAGAAATGAGAGATACTTATAAAGTCACATGGACTGTCTACTCCTTCCCCAGGTCTCTGGACAGTGCACTCTCATTCCTTATGTGTTCTTCAGTGACTTCTCCAGGTTTAAATGGATCAAGGTTGTCTGTTACATCCCATGGAGATGATTCCACAATCTGAGAGCTCACCATTAGAGAACCTTTTTCTGATTGCCAGTCTTTGATGAATTTTATCCCTTTTCTCTGTTTTACCCTTTCAGTCCAACCTAAACAAATATCTCTTTTGGGTGTTTACATTCTTCAAATACCTTTTAGATGGTTATATTGCCACTTTGGCATCTTTGGAATGACTGATCAAATTAATTCAGACTTCCAGGACAGTTGGTAAGAACATTTTCCTAGCTTCATAGTAAATTATTGTGAAAGCTTTTCTTATAGTTCTCCAATGACTGGAGGTGCTAGCCTAATAAAGTGCTTTAAATTTTGATATACTGATTTACTGTCTTTTTAAATAATTGTAAGAGGCACCTAAACGCCTCTTATTATTCTACAAATTCAAAGTTATTGGCTTCTCTGGCAGGTGAGTAAGGGAGACAGCAAAAATGCCAAAAAGAAGAATAATAAGAAGACAAGTAAAAACAAGAGCAGCTTGAGTCGTGGCAATAAGAAGAAGCCTGGCATGCCCAATGTCTCCAACGATCTCTCCCAGAAGTTGTATGCCACTATGGAGAAGCACAAAGAGGTAAAAGCCGTTGGATTGAGAAGTATCTACTCTATTTGAGCAGCCAAGTGTCCCCTCTTCTTATGTTCTATGTTCTAACATTTAATATAGAATTTAGCAAGAGAGTACGTATTTGTAGATGGAATCCCGATCTAGACTCTTTCCTATCAGGGCTATGGGAATAAATACAGATCACAGCTGTGCTGTGTAGAGAACTTTCATAAGTAAAAGTCTTTGCTGTGCCAGATTGGACCATTGGTCCATTTAGTTCAGTGCTCAATATTTGCATCAGAGGAAAGTGGAGGGGAGGGATTCATAGTGCACTTGGTGAATTATGTAATGTTGTATGTGCAGAAGTGGAAATTCCTTCATGACCCATGCAAATAGTCAGCTTGATGTGAAGCCACCCCACCCATCACAGCATGCTAACATCAGTAGCCATGGAATGTCCTATACTGTGTAGTTAAGGTTTGTCAATGGCTGATTTTAACTTCTGCTTTACTTTTCAGGTCTTCTTTGTGATCCGTCTCATCGCTGGCCCTGCAGCGAACTCCCTGCCTCCCATTGTTGAGCCTGACCCACTCATTCCATGTGACTTGATGGATGGGCGTGATGCCTTCCTCACCCTTGCTAGAGACAAACACCTGGAGTTCTCCTCACTACGAAGAGCTCAGTGGTCAACCATGTGCATGCTGGTGGAACTGCATACCCAGAGCCAGGACCGCTTTGTTTACACCTGCAATGAATGCAAGCATCATGTAGAGACTAGATGGCACTGCACTGTCTGTGAGGTATGCCTGATAAGATGTTTTTCCCCACTAGCTCTGGACACCAAGGTTAAGGAGACTCTTGACCTGAAGTCACTTCTAAACCTACATTCATAGCAATTTCTGTCCAGTCTACATTGTGGCAGTTTGGAATGGGAGGTGTTAAGTGTGCTAGCCTGACTAAAGTAGCTGTGCTGCTCTGTGCCCCCAAAGGTCACAATCACCTTAACCATGCCTGTTTCATTTAAATCTTCACTCCTCCACCAGTAAATTAACTGTGCCCTAAATTCAGTTCTGAGAAACTGCAAATAAAATTTAACATTCTGCCTCCCACATACACCTAAGTAAACAAATTCTGGGTTCTCCAGTTAGTGAATTTTGGGAGTTTTATTTTCTTCACTAATTTTAGGAATACCAGGTCCCCTACCGTTTGGCAGGACTTCTGCCCTCCTCAGAATTTCAAAGCCGCCCAGCCTCCCATCTGTTCTCCATGTGGCCCCTCTGCTCTGTGCTCCCCTTCCGCACTGGGAAAAGCAATCTGCTCCTCCCTCTCCCCTTCTTAAAGAAGTGTCACTATAGTGTCCCACTCCTCTTTTGAAGAAGAGCAAGCAGATGAGTGGCTACTCTGTTCCCTGAGGTCCTCCTTCCCTCCAGGGGAAGGAGCCAGTGGTCCCCTGACCCCACTTGGTCAGATGAAATTTCTACTGGCTCAGGGCAAACAGGTTTTCCAAGCCCTGGCTAATCAGTCTGTATAAATGTCAGATACTATTTTGCACCCACACTTTTCACTGTTAGTTGTTTGGACTTCTGCCAATACCTGGGCCCAGAGGACATTATAAATTACCTGAAAGGAAAATATAAAATTATTAGTGATACTTTTCAGATGATCCAAAGACTGGGAGAGTGGTAAATAATGGCCAGCACAGGTCACTGGTCATAGGGGACTGTATCTTGGGAAGCAGTCACTCTGAAAAAGACTTGGGCGTCGCGATGGATAATCACTTGAACATCAGCTCCCAGTGTAACGCTGTGGTCAAAAGAGCTAGTGTGATCCTTGGATGTATAAATGGGAATATCAGGTAGAGGGAGTTTTATTCTCTCTTTGGCACTGGCGGGGCTGCTGGAATATTGTATTCAGTTCTACTATCCACAATTCAAGAAGGATAGTGATATATTGGAGAGGGTTCAGAGAGGAGCCACAAGAATGAATAAAAGATTGGAAAACGTGCTTACAAGCAGCTCAGTCTATTGAGCTTAACAAAGAGATGTTTAAGGGGTGACTTGATCAGTCTAGAGCTACCTACGTGAAGAACAGAAATGTGATGAGGGCCCTTCAATCTAGCAGGCAAAGATATGATGAGATCCAATGCCTGAAAGTTGAAGCTAGAGAAATCTGCACTAGAAATAAGATGCCAATTTAAATGACAGTAATTAGCCATTGGAACAATTTAGCATGGGTTGTGATAGATTCTCCATCACTGCAAACTTTGAAATCAAGACTGGATATTTTCCTAAAATGAGTGGTCTAGTTGAATAGACATTAATCCAGGGAAGTCCTATGGCCTGTGTTACACAAGAGGTCAGACTAGATGATCACAATGGTCCCTTCTGGCTTTATAATCAACAAAAAGGCCAATTTTTCCCCCTCCTCCCAACCACAATCCATATCCCTTGTTAGTGACATGACCCCATTTGTATATTTATTGTGCCAGGTTATGTAGACAGCTGTTTAATTTTCAAAATGGTTTGTCTCTTTGCAGGATTACGACCTGTGCATCACCTGTTATAACACTAAAAACCACGACCACAAGATGGAGAAATTGGGCCTTGGCCTAGACGATGAGAGCAACAACCAGCAGACTGCA